CACACACACACACACACACACACACACACACACACACACACACACACACACTTTCTGGGGAAAGATAGGGAGCTCTCAAGTTGCCATGGGACTGTGGAACGCTGCACCTGGGTGTTCCCTTCAGTAAAATGGTGGCTAGACTAGGCAGTCCCTTCCAGCTCCGGCTTCCTCTTAGACTGGGATTCTGAGAAACGGAAGCCCTGCCTGTCGCAGAGTGTTCAGTTCTGGGGCTCAGCAAAGGAGCCTGGAGCCATTACGGAGGACTTTCTGGATAGGGCCCAGATAGGGGATACGGAGGAAGCGCAGACATTCCAGGCAGGGCCATATAGCATGAGCGCAGGCAGGCTTGGAGAGCAGACTTGGGGTAAACTCTGGCGGGGGCTGAGTCAAGATGCTCCCACGGGCCCTGGCTCAAGAGAGCCCATCCCTCCTTCCCGACACCTGCCATGTCAGCTTCGTGCAAGGCAGGAGCCCAGAGATGATCAGACCTTACCCCTGCCCGAGCTCCAGAGACTCCTGTACTCCGCTGCCCACTCAGGATTTCCACTCGCCTGTCTAACGCCAGACTCTTCGTGTCCATCCACACCTGGATCGTCACCCCCAACCTTGCTCCCCTTCAGCTCAGGTGATGTCCACTCTGTCCTTTCAGCCTGCTCAGGCAAACACCGGGCCAGAGGTCACCTTGACCGTCCCCCTCTCACCACCCCCCACCCCATGCAAGCTGCGAGCAAATCCTCCTGCCTCCACCTTCAAAGCACACTCAGGATCCACCGACTTCTCATCATCTCCACTGCCACCATCCTGGTCTGTGCCACACTTGTCACTTGCCTGGACTGTCACAGCAGCCTCCTCACCAGTACCCCTGGCTGTTGCCTTCCTGGGGTCTGTCCCTCTCCCTCCAGCCAGAGGGATCTTGAGTCCATGCCCCCCTCCACCCTTGTATATGCCAGGTCACCGGGATGAAATAATGCCACCAGGAGAGTCAGACACCAGTCCCAGCAGCATCAGCAAAGGTTGTGGCCTATGCAGAGTGCAGGGAGGACCAGGGGGCTGAGGCTTGGAGACAAGCCCTAAGCGGTTGGGGGCAAAAAAAACTGAGACCTGCCCGTGGCTGAGACCCCACACACGACCCCAATCCCCCACCTCCCTCGTGGAGGACACATCACCACCAGGGCTCTGCCAGCACACACTGGCACGCTGAGTGCTGGACCTGGGCACGTCTGCACATGGGACGTGTGCGGAGACGCGCACACCTATGTTCCTGACACCGATGGATGCGTGGGTGTGTGCCACACATACACCTGATCAGAGCTCGGGTCCAGCCGTGGAGCCCTTGGGGACAGGCCCCCACCGATGCCTGCTCTGACTAGAGTGGGGGGGGTCCACATGGTTCAGGTGGTTGAGCAGTTCACACCCCCGCTGGGCACACGTGTAACTCCTTCCCCCTGTGTCCCCACAGCCTGCCCTCGGACAAGGACCCAATGCCCAACCCCAGGCCAGCCAAGCCCTCGGCCCCTTCCTTGGTGCTTGGCCCATCCCCGGGAGCCTCGCCCAGCTGGAGGGCTGCACCCAAGGCTTCAGACCTGCTTGGGGCCAAGGGCCCAGGGGCAACCTTCCAGGGCCGGGACCTCCGAGGTGGGGCCCATGCCCCCTCCTCCTCCTCTTTGAACCCCATGCCACCATCACAGCTGCAGGTGAGGCCCAGGGCCCAGGATGGGGCAGGCAGGGTGGGGTACCTGGGCCTACAGGTGCCGACCTTTACTGTGGCACGGGGCGGGGGGCCCAGCTGGGGCACAGGAAGTGGTTTTCTGGGTCCCAGGCAAGTCTGTGACTTATGCAGATGTCACAGGGCCAAGAAAGTCCCCAGTTAGCAGGTCTCAGAGATTCGAGGCTCTCCCCGACCTCCCAATCCCGGCCTCAGGAGAGGAGCTCCTATCACGGTCCCACAGGCGTGGCCGTGTGTCCCCCTCCCCGTGTGACAGGGGAAAGGGCTGGTGCCCAAAGAGGGGAGGTGACACGGTTGAGGCCAGCTCTGCCACTTATTAGCTGTTTGATCTTGAAAAAGTCATTCGCTCTCCCCGAGCCTCAGTTTCCACATATGTAAAACGGGGATGATCAGAGAACCTACCGTGTGGGGTTGTGGTGAGAAGTGTATGAACTAGACATGTAGAACAGTGAGGAGAAGGATGCCATCTCACCCGCCTGCCTTCTCTACCCGCCCCCCAGCTGCCCACGGTGCCCCTAGTCATGGTGGCACCCTCTGGGGCACGGCTGGGCCCCTCACCCCACTTGCAGGCACTCCTCCAGGACAGGCCGCACTTCATGCACCAGGTACTGACCCGGAATGGGCAGGGCGGCGGGAGCAGGTGGGAGAACTGGGCGGGGGGCGGGGAACAGGCTGATCCACAGCCCCCGTGTGCCCCCAGCTCTCAGCGGTGGATACCCACGCTCGGACCCCCGTGCTGCAGGTACGCCCACTGGACAGCCCAGCTATGATCAGCCTGCCGCCACCCACTGCTGCCACCAGCGTCTTCTCCCTCAAGGCCCGGCCCGGCCTGCCACCTGGTAACACCCCACCCCACAGCTCTACAGAACCCCGAGCCCCCCAGTGCTTGAGTGGGAGCCGCGTAGGCTGCTGAAGGGCGGCCCTCAGGAGGTCAGATGCATCGGGTCTTACCCTCTGGGAAACTCCAGCCTCCAAAAAATGTCAGGTTCAGAACCTTAAAGGTGCAGAATGAATGGCAAAAATCACAGAGCCGTGGGTCTTTGCAGTCAAAATGTCAGCGCTTGCAAATGGCAGTCTTTGAGCTGCTCCCCCAGAAGCCTTGGATGTTAGGGCCGACAGAGCCCCCTGGGAGTCAGGGCCTTCGAGGCTCAGGAGGGTGGGAAGCTCAAAAGGAGAGTCTCTGTGGGCTGAGCTTGAGGGCCCAGCCCACGGTCCCCAAAGATGCCCTGTCCCCACCCGCAGGGATCAACGTGGCCAGCCTGGAGTGGGTGTCCAGGGAGCCAGCCTTACTCTGCACCTTCCCAAGCCCCGGCACACCCAGGAAAGACAGGTCAGTGGACCAGGCTGGGAAGGACCCTTGCCCTGCCGTTGCCTCCCCTTACACCCTCTGTCCCCCTAGCACCCTTTCGACCGTGCCCCAGGGCTCCTACTCGCTGTTGGCAAATGGTGTCTGCAAGTGGCCCGGCTGTGAGAAGGTCTTCGAGGAGCCAGAGGATTTCCTCAAGTGAGTGACCCAGGCCCATTCCAGTCCAGGAGGGTCCCCAGTGTGTGGGAGGAGGCCTGTGGTACAGGTCCCAGCTCAGGCCTCATCTCAGTGGGTAATGACGAGGCAAAAGGCTAAGGCTAACACCGTAGGTTCAAATCCTGGTCCTATCGCTGGCTGTGTGATCTTGGGCAAGTTACTTAGCTTCTCTGGGCCTTGGTTTCCTCATCCGTGTAATGGGGCATCATAAGAGAGGTGTATACTATTACCTACCTCCATTTTACGGATACAGAAACTGAGGCCACAAAAAGTTAAGTGTCTTGATTAAGATCACCCAGTTCCTAAGTCACAGAGCTGGGATTTGAATCCAGGCAGCCAGGCTCCAGAATGCACACTCCTAACTGCTTTGCCCTGCTACCCTAGCCCTCCTGCCAACACACCAGCCTGCTTTTATTGATCCCCACAGTCCCCGATTGTCACAGTGGCTCTTGCTGCCTCCTCTCGGTCCCACCGCACGCACATGCGCGCGCGCACACACACACACACACGCACACACGCGCGCGCGCGCACGCACACACGCGCGCACACGCACACACGCACACACACACACACACACACACCCCTTCTCCAACCATACCCAACTATCAGTGGCAACTCTGCACCCTGTCCTCCTCACGACCATGACTTTACACAGGCTGTCCCCTCCACCTGGAGAGCCTCTCCTGCCCTCGCCTACCTCACCCCACCTCTCAGCTCACCAGCCTTCCAACATCACCTCCAGCACCCCCGCCAGGCTCCAGTGGCGAGCTCAGGCCTGGCACCAGGAGATGCCAAGTAGCGTGTGTTGAAGGAACAGCGGGTGTAAGAGGGAGACTTGAGGTAGAGAGAGGGGAGGGAGGCTGAGCCTCTGAGGAGAGACCTCCCAAAGGGTCTGGCCCTCCTCACTCGGAGTGTTGAGCCAGGAGGCCAGACCCACTGTGGTCACCCACATGGAATCTCCCCCTACCCAGGCACTGCCAGGCGGACCATCTCCTAGATGAGAAGGGCAGGGCACAGTGTCTCCTCCAGAGGGAGGTGGTGCAGTCTCTGGAACAGCAGGTGACGTAGGAGAGGGGTGGTTGGGGGATGATGGGCGAGCCTTACGTCCACGCTGTGCCAGGAGCCAAGCTCACCCAGGATGGGGGCTGGCATAAAGGAAGGGAGGGGGTAGGGCACTCCCAGGGAGAACCACAGCCTGAGCAAGGATGTGGCAGAGAAAGGCCAAGTTGAGGCCTCACTTTGTGCCCTGTCCTCACAGCTGGTGCTGGAGAAGGAGAAGCTGGGCGCTATGCAGGCCCACCTGGCTGGGAAGATGGCCCTGACCAAAGCTCCAACCACGGTGAGCCACCCCAGGCCCACAAGCGGCACAGGCGGCTGGAGGGGGGCGGAGGGGACTTACCCTCACACCCACGCCCTGACTCTGGGCCCCTGTCCCCAGCTCCAAACATGCCCAGACCTGGAAACCTGTCCCCTCCGGTTACAAACCCTCTGACCCCAAGATCCCGAAACATCATGATCTTGGGTTTTCAAAGCAACCGCAAATCACCAAGCATCTACTGGACACAGACCCTGTGCCACTGGTGGGACTGGTCATACGACATGCAGGAACCAGCGCACAACAAAATCACGGGGCCCAGGTTTCAAGATGACCCCCACAGAGCAGTAAACAAAGGGCAGGGACCTGTGTGATTACACAGGCCACACATCGGTGAAGCCGGCCCCGGGGGCCAGGCACCATTCCTGAGCACGCTGCTGGGGTTAGTCTATCGAATCCTCATGAGGCCACTCACGATAGGTATTAATTACTAGCATCCCTAAGGTGTAGGAGCCTGATTCAGCCCCAGCTCATGGCCCCAGCATTGCGCCTCTCCATACAGACAGACAGACACACACACACACACAGATTCAGCCCCAGCATTGCGCCTCTCCACGCACACAGGCGCACGTCCACACTCACACTCTAATAAATACGGCTCAATGCTGCTTTGTGAGATTCCACATCAGACTGGACTTGAGAAGAGAGCTCACTTGCTTTAAAAACAAACCAACCAACCACACTTATTTAAAATTGAAGCGGAAAGTGTAAGCCTCTGAATCACCCGCCTTGCCCTCCCCCCGCAGGCATCATCCGACAAGGGCTCCTGCTGCATCGTAGCTGCAGGTACTCCGGTAACCCCTGGCCCAGCCTGGCCCAGCCCCCAGGAGGCCCCCGACGGCCTGTTTGCTGTGAGGAGGCACCTCTGGGGCAGCCATGGAAACAGCACGTTCCCAGGTAAGGATGGCCCGTACCCCTACGTGTTGCCCCCCACCCCCCTGAGCCCCTCATCCCCCTGACTGGCACCCGGTGGGAGACAGCCAGTACCGACCCTCCCCAGCACTGCCACACAGCCTTTGGGAAAACATAACTGCTTGCAGAAGCTGCCTTTCAGCGTTTCCAAGGCCTGCAAGCCCCCTGCACCGCCACCACCCCCCACCCCCCCCCCCCCCCCGCCATTGTAGTTCGGGGGCTCACTCATTCCGGCCTTCAGCTACTCCATTCGGTCATCAGAAGGGAGAGAACTAGCTAAGCGCTTCCCAGGGACTCTCCCTTCCCCCTCCAAGGAAAAGCAGGGTGATTCTCCCAAGCTCAGGCATCCTGGGCTGCCCGCAAGGCTTGGGCTGTGGGCTTAAGACGGATCAGGGCCCTTGAGTGTCAACCTGCCTCTGCCACTTGGCCGCTTGCATCCCTTCGGTGTGCAAGTTACTTCACTTCTTTTAAACTTCGGGGACGATGAAGCCCATTTTGGTGGGAGTGGTGCAAGCAGTAGATGATACGGTCGATGCCCAGCGCTCAGCACAGTAACCGTGAGGGTGAAAACTGGTGTTGTCAGGGAGGGATTTCAGCTGGGTAGCCTCTCCTTGTAGCGTGGGGGATGGGAGAGGGAACTAGGAGCTCCAGGACGGACCGATCCTCCCCCACCCCGTACAGAGTTCTTCCACAACATGGACTACTTCAAGTTCCACAACATGCGGCCCCCCTTCACCTACGCCACCCTCATCCGCTGGGTAAGCCGGCAGCGTGAGCCAAGGAAAAGGAAAAGAAATGGGGGGTGGGCACCTGCCTCCCACATTCCCAGCCTCCTTCTGAGCACCCCCAGAACAGGCTCCTTCATGAACCCAGGCCTCCGATTGGATCCCCCCCCCGCCGCAAGCCGGCTTCACTCCAGACCTGGCCCCCCCAACCCAAACAGAAACCACTATCCAGTCCAGTGCGAGTCCAATTCTGGCCCTCAACCCACCCCCCTGATGCCCTGATGCCCACCTCGACCCCATACTTAACCCCCTCCCAGATCTGTAAAATAGCCCCCAGATGAACCTGATCTTTGCCCCTTGCCCTAAACCCACCACAGACACTATCCTAACTCCTTCCCTGGCCCCCATATGTCCCAATACACCAACACATCCCTCGGCCGGACCCTGCCTCTAACCCCTTCCTTGTGACACCTATCTGACCCTTGGCCTCACCCCATCCCAACCCCTTCACCTGAATCTCCCTAATGTCTGCCCAGAACTTTCATCAGAGCCTGCCCAGACCCTCACCTTAGGCCCACACCTAACCCCTACACGACACCACGCATTCCCCTGCCTAGCCCCATCCTGACCCAGGACCTCACTGCAGCCATAATCTCTGACCCTTTGTTTAACCCCACTCCTAAATCCAAACAGATCCAATTCCCTGACCTTTAGCCTCACTCCATACCTAACACAAGCCCTGACCCTTAACGACCACACACATCCAACCTTATTCTTGACCTTGAATCTAACCACATGCCTGACACAGAAAATAACGATATCACTAGGTCCGCCTCTTGATTCCTGACTCTAATGCCATCCCATCCCTCAGCCCTCTGCTCGCCCCAGTCCATCCCCAGCCAGACCCTTAACCAACCCCTTCCCTGATGACCTTTAACTCTGCCTGGCCCTTTACCCCTCCCACATCCTTAACTTGACCCTACTCCTGGCCTTCAACCTTCCCAAACCCTGACACCTTGCCCCTGTGGAGGCGGTCAGCTCCAACTCCATCCCAGACCTTTAACCTAGTCCTGGCCCTACCCTGAACCAGACCTTACTGCAACCTCAGGCCTGACCCTCCACCTCATCCCATTTCTAACCCTGTCTCTGACCTGTCACCTCACACCGTCTCCCTCCCTCCCTTCCCCCGCCCCCCCCCCCCAGTTCCACCCATGTCAGACACCCAGGGTGGGCCACTGCCACTCTCAGCCCAGCTTTGGGGAAGGGACTCCCTGACCCCCTGACCCCCTAACCTCCAGGCCATCCTAGAGGCTCCCGAGAAGCAGCGGACACTCAACGAGATCTACCACTGGTTCACACGCATGTTTGCCTTCTTCAGGAACCACCCTGCCACCTGGAAGGTAGGCTCCTCTGGAAGTGGCAGTGGCTGGGAGGGCCTCCAATGCCACTGGGGTGCTGGACCAAGCTCAGGAGGGGGGCAGGGCTTGTAGACATGTCAGGAAGGGGCGGGAGGCCGGTTTGGGGTGGGTCCTGCTGACCTCAGAGAGTGACTGCCTACCCATTCCCCCTGCCCCCCCGGCCTGGTGGGCCTTCCTTCTGCAGAACGCCATCCGCCACAACCTGAGCCTGCACAAGTGCTTCGTGCGGGTGGAAAGTGAGAAGGGGGCCGTGTGGACCGTGGATGAGTTCGAGTTCCGCAAGAAGAGGAGCCAGAGGCCCAGCAGGAGTGCCAACCCCACACCCGGCCCCTAACCTCAAAACCAAGGAGAGGAGGAAGGAAGGACAGGGGCCGAAATGGGGGGTGGAAGCGGCCGGGGGCAGGGGTGACGGGCCCTGGATATGCTCACAGGGACCAAGAAGTGAGGTGTGCACGGTCTTGCCTGCCAGGGACCCTGATCCTCAGCTGACCACCCTTCTAGATCGTATGCTCTGCACCAAGGCTGCTCAGAGGGGCCCTGGCCCCCCAGCCCACCTTCCTGCAACAAGCTCTGTAGCCAAACTGAGCCTTCACAACCAACCACACACACAGCCTGCCTCAGTCGCTCTCACAGATGATCTCAGGGCTGGAAAAGACACACCCACAGTCACAACCGTCTCTCTTGGACACAGTACAAAGAGCCTGCCTCAGTACCCTCGGGCAACCTCAACTCTGCAGTCTCGCAGACAATCATACCTGAGCACAGTCCTGTCAACCCACACAACCCGAAGCACACACCCATGGCCATCCTACCCCTCCCCCGGCCCTCACCTGCGCTGTCACACGGGGCATGCCCAGGGTCCCACCCAGAAGCAGCCTTGGTACCTTCAGGATCTCACGTCCCAAAGAGCCACACAAACACACCCCAGTCGTGCACATTCTCACGCAGCCCCCAAAACGTCAGCTTGCTCATGCAGCCCACGAGAACACGCCTGTGCATCTCATGTCGCGCACACGCACTTGGCACCCCAGCGGGTCTCCGGAGTCCCACGTGGGCTTTCACAGCCACACACACGGAGTCGCCGAATAGATCCCACGTCTCACCTGCCGCCCGCCGCACCTTCCCAGCCCTGAACCCTGTGTCCCCATCCAGGCCTCAGCTTAGACTACAGACAGAGCCCCTCGTTTATTTGGGATCCAAGGTCCTAACCCCAGTGCCCTCTCCAATAAACCGCAGCCGAGTTCCCACGTTCTGGACGATCACCCCAGATCAGGGTTGGGGTCAGGTGGGCAGGGGTCTGGGGCCAAGGCCGTAGCCGGAGGAGCGCAGCCAACAGAGGGAACGGCTAGGGCAAGCGCTTGGCCATCGCCCCCAACATCCCAACTCCCTGCCCGAGGCCAGGTGCAGACCGGCGCTGGGGGCTCCTCAGGCCTCCCGGACCCGCCCCAGGAGGCCAGCGTTCTCCTGGCGAAGGGCTCGGTAGTCCTCGCGGATCTTCTCCAGGTTGCTGAGAGTCTTCTTCCCCATCTCCGTCTCAATCTAAGGCAACATGAATTGCACACCTTCTGTGTGCGGGGCCCCTGTCCCAGCTCCTGCTTACCACCCCATCTCCATTAAGGCCGCTCGAGGTCCCTCCCGTGCTCCTCCCACCCTCCTCCCGCAAGAGCGTGCTGTGCCCTACCACCCGGCCTTTGCATGTGTCATCTGTTCACCTAAAGCACCATTTGCTAACGTGGCAGCGTGAGCCACCACATACTCTGGCTGCAGCCTCTGCCAATGGCCCAGGGAGGCAGGTGCGAGGACCTTCGGGGCGGAAGCTAGGGCTCAGAGGAGGCTGCTGGCCGGTGCCAGGTCACACACACAGCTACTATGGGGTAAGGCTGAGTCCAGCCGTAGGCTGTGTCTGCTCCCACAGCCTCTCTGGGCGTAAACCAAGGTGCTGTCCACTGGCCTGCCTTGGTTTCCCCTCCCACCCCCAGGCCTCACCTGCTCCTCAAGGTCTCGAACTTCCCGCATGATGGTGCCTGTATCCTCAATGGTCTGGATGAGCTGGCTGCAGTTCTGAGGACAGCAGGAGCAGAAGGCTGGTACCCCCCCCACGCCCCACCCCAGCCAGCATCCCTCACGCCTCACTCACCTCGTGCAGGGCAGCTAGATACTTGTATGCCTTCCGAACGGCATCATCCTTCTTGGCATCCTGACCAGACAGAAGGGACCAGTGGGCTTCCCCCACACCCCCCCTCCCACATACCCCCTCCAGGACCCCCACAGGGCCACCCTCTCCCACTCCCCTGACTTCATCCTCTGCGGCGCACAGCCAGGCCCGAGCCGCCGTGGACCTACACGGCTCACACTGGGCTGAGGCCCAAGCCAAGCTGTGAGCAGATAGGCGGGAGCCCAGCCCGCCCCCCTCCCCCGACCCAGCCCAGCCAGGCCCACACCTTGAACACGAGCTCATCGGTCACAGCAAACGTCCGGTCCAGCTTCCCAGACAGGGAGTTGATTTCCTTCTGAAGCTCCTTTGTGTCTGACAAGATCTGGCAGAGAACAGGGCAGGCATGAGCCCACGTGCGGCCCGGGTGGGCCGGCCGGCTGAGGGCAGAGTCGCGTGCACGTGCTCACACCCAGATGGGGCCTGCGTCACCACATCAGCTGTGGCTGGAGTGGGGCTGGGTAGGAGGGTTCTGTGTTGGGGTGTGGCCAGACAGCTCTGCCTTTCAGAGGGTGTGAGGTCCCCGCGTGGCCGTGCTACACGCATCTGCCCCTCACGCCGTGTCTGCCCGTCCGCCCCAACCCTCCACGGCCGCAGCGATGCACCTTAGTGATCTCTTCCTTCTGCTTCCGGATGTTGCCCACAATCTCCAGGATGCGCTGGGTATAGGCCAGCCGGGACACGTCTCTAGGCAGGGTCTCCAGCTCTGACACCTAGACAGGAACACAGCAGACACTCCCCTGGGACCCAGCCCCCCGCCCCCTCAGACCTACCCGGGGCCCCTGCACAGGCTTTACCAGCTGCTTGTAGGCCTCCTCCTTCCTGCGGGCCTCTTCGGCAGCCGCTCGAACACTCTGGTGCAGCTCCTGGATCTCTGCCAGCCGTCGAGAAGATTCCAGCTGCCGGGACCCCCATGGGCAGAGGGAGAGTGAGCAGAGCACAAAGATGGCCCCCCAGGGAGGGACCGAACCCACCCCACCCACAGCCCAGGACCTCACAACCTACCTCTCTGCAATCCTGGAGCTTTCGGAGGTGGCGGTACTCAGCCAGGAGAGGGACCCGGTGCTTTTCCCACTGACCTGCCAAGTGGATGACCCGCTGGGCACTACTCTCCACCACGAGCTGGCGGGGGGGGGAGGGAGGGGATCCGTGTCACACAGGCTGGACCCTTCCAACTCCAGCCCTCCCGCCCAGCCCCGGTGCCAGCCCCACCTGCAGCTTGGCCAGGTTGGCAGCCCCGTCAGGCAGGAGCTCCACCGCCCGGCTCTTCAAGCGCAGGGCCTGCTCACGCTCCGCCATGCTGAGCTCGCTCTGCCGGCGCTCCGTCTCCACCTGGCAGCCCATGACCCCCACTCCTGTCAGCGGAGGAGCCCAGCCACATACCACAGGCCTCTAGGCCCCACCGAGCCTGGAAAGCCCTGGCCTAGCCTGAGCCCCGACAGACAAGAACACACCCCTCTACCCTCTAGCAGCCCCTTGACCCCTCCTGATGGTGACAGAAACCTATAAGCAGCGACAGACACCCACAGGCCCCTCTGATCCCTCTACCTCCACAATGACCCCCCCGCCCCGGAAGCCCTGACAAGGCCCACAAGCCCTTGCCCAGACAGGTCCAGCATACGCCCACAGACGCCCACAGATGCTCCCACCCCTCCCGATTCTCAAAGACCGATGCCCACGGGTGCCCCTGACCCCCACAGGTCCGACTCCCCTGACCCTATATCCCCCTCACCCCACTGATTCTCCTCAACCCTCGAGAGCCCACAGGCCCCTGAGGTCGCCTCTGAACCCTTCTGACATCAGCAGATGTCCTCCACGAAGTCCTCTCAGCCCCTTCAAGGCCCTCTAGGCCCTCTAGGCCCCACCGTGAGCCAAACCCAGGCGGGCAGCGCCTCCCCCACCCCCAGCCCCACCCCCCACCTGCACGAGGTTGACTCCCAGGGTCTTCATGTTGGCTTCGACCTCTTCGATGTTGCGGTTCACTCCCTCCAGCTGTTCCCGAAGAGACTCCAGCTCCTTCTCTTGAGCTGCCCTTGTGTCCTGGGAGGCACAGGCCAGTAGGGGCGGGGGTGTCAGGCCCACTAGGCGTGGTAAGGGCCCAGAACCCCCGCCACGGCTCGGCTTACCTGTTCAGGCCACTGGGAGGTGGCCGGCACATCACACACCTGGGCTGCCGGGACCTCGGGCTCCTGGGGGAGTGAGACAGGGGTATCCTGGCCGTCGGAGAAGGCCCTCCCAGCCCAGCCTCAGCACCTGCTCCAAGCGCCCTTCCAGCACCACGCTCCTGTCCACCCAACTGCTGACAGCGGTCAGACGAGGTTTATGAGGACCCAGGCACTCTCTGAGACCTCAGGCTGGACTGTTTGCTCAGAAAGAAACCTCCCTGACCCTGACACGAGAAGGGGGCCCACGAGAAGGATGAAGCCCCTCTAGGTCAAGGACAGATGTGTCCGGGGGAGACTGTCCGAGGGAAGCTGGGGTTTGCACACAGAGCACCCCTCCCCCCTTCTCCACCGAAGCCCTTGAGGTGCCAGGGGACCCCCAGCACAGAGAGGGCAAGCCCAGTGGGAACACGGGAATCTCTGCAGATAAAGTGTGTCGTCTGCACAGAGAGTGGCCCTATCGGCCCGCCCGGGTCCACTCGGACCCGCTCACCGGATGGAAGGTGAACTTCTCCGAGTGTGTGAAGCGGGAGCCCTTGGAAGCGCCGGTCCTGGCCCCTGCCCCCCAGGCCTGCAGCAGCTCTCCCAGGTCTCGGGCTTGTGGGGGAGCCCCCGGTCGGCCCCAGGTCTGGCGTAGATGCTCAGCCAGGTGCTTCTGCAGCCGCTGCCGCTGGGCCCGTGTATCCTCCTGGATGCAGAAGGCGGGGCAGATGGGAGGGTGTCAGGGCCTGCTGGGCACCCGAGGCCCTGCCTCCTCCGGGGAGCTGCCTGACAAAGGGCTACCAGCCAGTCCCCTCTCCTGACCCACCAGTCTGGGAGCTCCCCAAGGACGGGGTCCCCCCCACAGCCATGCTTCTCTCCACCCACTCGCTCCCCACACGAGCAGTAAGTCAGCAGCCTCCAAATCAGAGGGTGACACGGAAAGGCTACGTGGGGACAGAGCAGACACAGAGAGTCAGAGGTGCTGGGCAAAGAAGCAGTGGAAGCGGAGTAGAATCGAGAGAGAGAGAGAGAGAGAGAGAGAGAGAGAGAGAGAGAGAGAGAG